GGAGAACGTCGGCGTGGACAGACAGAATTTGAGTTTTGGGTAAGAAGAATGATGTTTAGGAAGACGGGGAAGGCTAGGAGCCGGGCAGGAGTGCAGTTACTGATTGCAGAGTCTTTCGTGGACTTCTCGAGGACTCCACCGCTGCCTCTTCTTGCTAACAAAAATGTGAATTAGCAGACGTTTGTGTTCGGAGTGCAAGGGAGATAGATCTGCCCTGAGATCTGCAGAAGAGGGAGGTTTATTAAATCCGCCGAGATTGAGACCCGCTGTGTATTTTTTAAGACTGGAAATCGGGTGTGGAGTGTGCACATCTATCATTGTAGCACTAAAGAGTCGAGTGGGAAGGTCTTGTCATTTTTTTTTTTTTAAAGGAACCAAGATTTCCTACAGCAATTTGGATGAATCTATCTATCTGTCTATCTGTCTGTCTATCTATCTATCTATTTTTATTTATTTGTCTTGTTTTTTTAAATGGACTAAGATTTTCTATAGCAATGTAGATGGCTTAATCTATTTACTTCTTTATTTAATAATTTAATTATTTAATGATTTAATCTAATTAATGACTATTTATTTGTTTTTTATTTGGCTGGTCATTGTTTTAAATGGACCAAGATCTACTGCATCAATGTAGATGACTACTTATTTAATAATTTAATCTATTTAACGATGTAAGCTACTTATTTAATGATTTTATTTATTTGGCTTGTCAATTTTTTAAAAAATGGATCAAGATTTGCTATAGCAATGTAGATGATTTTATCTATCTATCTGTCTGTCTATCTATGTATCTATGTCTGTCTGTCTATCTTATCTATCTGCCTCATAATTTTTTTAAATTTTGATTAAAGTTGAACATCCCTACCACCCGGTCAGATGCTTTAAAAAATACCATTGACTTGTAGGTTTAAAGTTTCTCACACAAATATCCAGTAAATTCAGTGATCAGAATTATAATGACTACCTAGTTGCTTTCTGAGTGTGAGACATTGGGCAAATGATTTCCCTTCTCTGATTTATAGTTTCCAAGTCCTTTGGAACCTTGATTCTGTGACTTTCGCAATTAAGTGGAAAGTGGGCAGTAAAAGGACTAAGTTGGTGAGTTAAAGGGTTAATTTGGCCTCTGGTGACTGGAGATCTCTGAAATGATGGTTTCCTTGCTTTCTTTTCAGTGTGATTCGTCTTATCATGCAGTACTTGAAGGAGAACAGTTTACATCGGGCATTGGCCACCTTGCAGGAGGAGACTACTGTCTCTCTTAATACTGTGGACAGCATTGAAAGTTTTGTGGCTGATATTAATAGTGGCCATTGGGACACTGTTTTACAGGCTATCCAGTCTCTGAAATTGCCAGACAAAACCCTTATTGATCTCTATGAACAGGTAAGAATGAAAAGTCTGTTATCCTGATGTTTGTGAGTTAGTCCCTTAATTGGGAAGTATCAGTGAGCCTTCCTTCAAATGCTCAAGGGATAATATATAAGTGACTGTAAAATATACATTGTCATGACTCAACAGTGTATTTTTTTTCCTTCCTTCTTGGAAGTATTAACCAAATTTAAATTATTTCTTGGTATGGTTTTGAGGCTGAAACCCAAGGAAACTGAATTAACTTTTTAGGTGGTCATAAAATAAGTATTCTCAAGTTGAGCATAATGGTTTGAGACCAGGTGGTCTACATAGTGAGTTCCAGGCCAGCCAAGGATATTTAGTGATATAATATAATGTGATTCAGCTAAGACACTGACCACCTGGAATTAGCACACATCGCTAAGTTTGACATAGATTTCCCTCACTTTATATACTAGCTGTACTGTGTTGGGGTGTGCTGTGACAGGGTGAGGGGGAGTGGGGAAGGGCTTAGTATGGCATTTTTAGACCATTTGAGCTTTTTTTCTTCTTTCTTTTTTTTTGTTTTCTTTTTTTGTTTTTTGTTTTTTGTTTTGTTTTTTGGCTGTCCTAGAACTAGTTTTATAGGTTGGCCTCAAACTACCTCCTCTGCTTCCAGAGCACTAGGATTGAAGGTGTGCCCCATCACTGCCTGACTTTAGGTCACTTAAGTTTTTGGTCAACTGACTAAATTTGGGGACTCATGTGACATGCTCAAATTTGATAATTTACTAGAATAATCCATAGAACTTAGAAAAGCTCTGTATTTATGTGATTACAGTCTTATTATTAAGGACACAGTTCAGAACTACCCAAAGGACAAGACAGAAAGAACTAAGTCTAAGAGACCCCTATGTAGAACTTTGGTTTTGTTTCAGTGGAATTGGGTTGTGCCTCCCACCTGGCAAATGACCAACCAGAGGGTTCTGTTGTACTGTTCAGCAGGGTTATGTAATAAAACACAATTTCCAGTCTTCATCTTCCACCTCCCCGTTGGTTCTTTGTCCCAGAGGTGGGGCTGGCTTAAAAACCTTAACCTATTAATATGGTTTTTATGGTAACCAATCTTTGTCCCAAGGCATCATTTTAGCACAAACTTGAGTGTTATTCAAAGGACTCTGGAGTAACAGATGACTTTGTCACTAGTAGAATTCTAAGAGTTTTGTAAGCTGTAAAACAAGACCCCAGGACAAACAGCAAATTATTATAAAACAACACATTAAAAAACAAGCCAGGTGTGATGTTTCAAACCTTTAATCTTGGGAGGTAAGAGTGGCCTGGTCTACATAATGAGTTTCAGGCTAGCCAGGGCTACACAGTAGTGAGACCCTGTCTCAAAACAAAATAAACTAAGCAAACAAAAAAGGAAGAGGAAAGAAAGGTGGAATTGAGGTTATTCATAGTTTTCTGAGACAGATGGACTATCTACTATGCTATTGTGATGCCTATTTATAACTACCTTAGTTATCCACTTGAAATTGCTAGAGAAGAAGAAAAATGGTGTTTCCTAGTATAGAAAATTACTTTTGACAGGCCACATCTATATCAAATTTTACTGAAAAAATACTAATAAGAAACTAGGCATGATAGTACATACCTTTAATCCCAATACTTAGGAGGTAAGAGGCAGGTGGGTCTCTGAGTTCTAGGACAGCCTGGTCTACATAGTGAGTTCCAGGATAGCCAGGGCTACACAGAGAAACCCTGTCTGGGGGGGGGAGGGTGGAAAAAAAGAAAGAAAAATACTGATAAAGAGGATATGCTGAAGAAATGTATTTTCTTTCCATTGTCCAGGTTGTTTTGGAATTGATAGAACTTCGTGAATTGGGTGCTGCTAGGTCACTTCTGAGACAGACAGACCCCATGATTATGTTGAAGCAAACACAACCAGAGCGCTATATTCATCTGGAAAACCTCTTGGCCAGGTCCTACTTTGATCCTCGTGAGGTAAGGATATGTTAGTGAAAAGACATCTTTGATAATTGTGAAAATTAAATAATGTGATTGTGCAAAATTTTAAAATTCTTGTTTGTGTATATGTGTTTGGGCAGGTGTACATGTGTGGAGGTTAGAGGACCACTTAACAGGAGTTGATTCTTGTCTTCTCCCATGGGATTCAAATTCATTTCATCATGCTTGGTACCAAACACCTTTTTCCCACACAGTGATCTCATCCACTGATGAGATTATACATATACTCACACTAACAGTTTCCCACATGAACTTTCACTGAAGGCTGTCAAAATAAAAGGAAGGAACTCAGTAATAGAAAGTTAGACTTCTGAAGAATATGAATCTTTGGCCCTCCAAATACTTCAGGAACTAGACTCCCTCCTTTGTCTTTGTGGATTACCTGGGCTCTTCAGATTGACTGATACCAGCTTTCTTCCACACTTCAGAAATGTGTGCAGAATTGGAAAGTTATTTTAAAATACTAAATTGTTTTAATTCATCACCTGTTTAACTGGATATTTTATTTTCATGTTTTCCTCTTTGAATGTTTATTTCCTTTGCTTTTGAAAAAAATTTTATTTAGGTGGTGTGTGTGTGTGTGTGTGTGTGTGTGTGTGTGTGTGTGTGTGTGTGTATACACATGTGTATTGTGTACATGTGTGCTTGTTTGCAGGAGCCTGAGCAAGCCAGAGACACTGAATACTGTGGGAGCCTACAGTATTCAATGTGACTCAGTTTCTGTCTAGAGTCTGTTCTGACTTACAAGACAGACATTGTCAAGCTTGCTTTTTTCAGTTTCCTTGAGAGCTGTGAGAAAGTTTTGATGAAGTCCATGGAGAGAGCAAATTATCTAACTAACAAGCTTCTGATGCCAGCCAAAAGGCACACAGAGACGGTATGAAGCTGCTTGCTGCTAGCAGGACTTATGTGATAGATAGTGAACCTGGCTGCTCCTCATTCAAGGACAGTGCAGGGAGCTGGTTAATTGACTATTACTGCTCTTTGTTCTTTGTCTCTAGTCTGAATATAAGCAGGGTCTAAATTAAATTTGGGGCTGTCTGGTGTGCTGAAAGGCATGGACTGGGCAGGATTGATCTATCCTGTGTTTCTGTCTCTGTTTCTTTTATCTGCCATTTCTCAGTCCTTACACCTCTACTCAGGTAACCCAACTGACTTTCTTTGGAGCAGGTTCTGACAGAATATCCCCCTGAAGCTGGAATTACAGGCAGTTGTGAGCTGTCCAGTGTGGGTACTGGGAATCAGCCTGGTTTTCTGGAAGTACATGCTCTTAGCTGCTGAAGCTTTAAATATATACCTTCATGCCTTGCTTCTCCTTGGAAATGATGCCACCTCTTTTTTGTTTGTTTTCCCTAGGCATATCCCGATGGAAGTAGCAAAGAGAAAAGGAGAGCAGCAATTGCCCAGGCATTAGCTGGGGAAGTCAGTGTGGTGCCTCCATCTCGTCTCATGGCATTGCTGGGACAGGTAAGTGAATTCCTATAGAACTGAAATTACCTGAACTCCTGGTACTGTTTCCTGTATATAAGGCATATTTCTGAACTAAGGAAATTACACAGCCTGGGAATAGAGCCTGCCTCCAAGGCTGATTGCTCAGCAGCTGTGCAGAGCTACCTTTCTGCTTTTTCTGGAGCAGCAATGTAGACTAGCCATTCAGGACATGTAAGCTGTAGCATCATTTAGAATTTATGTTGGAATGTGCTGCTAGGAAACTTGGATTGAATGTTCAGGCTTCATAGTCTTACCAGCTCTGTGGTCGTGTCTGTGAGTTCGAGGCCAGAGAGAGGTCCAGGACAGGCTCCAAAGCTACGCAGAGAAACTCTGTCTTGAAAAAAAAAAAGATAGCTTTGCAATTCCTCATACGAACATGCATGTATATGGTATGTCATAGTGTGATGTGATATGAGATGAAAACCAGAAATATAGTACAATTACTAATAGAGCAATTAAACACATCGCATGAGATGAAAATGACTAGAAGTGATTATTGTAAAATGTTGTTAATGGCTGGTTTTGAGTCTTAGAACTCTTGGAAATTCCTGCTTTCCAAATTTTTGTTTATAATAAAGGAAAATAGATGTGAAATAGTTTTTGCCTTTCGAAGTCTTCCATGAAAAGTCTATGCTCTTGGACACACTGAACCATAGTTTGTGTGACTGGAAAGTGTAGTTTCCTCTGGAACTCATTCTTTCAGGCATGGTTTTGCCTGAGCAGCAGTTACTGGCTCTTCAGTGCTATTTTGCAGATTGCTTTGCTTTCTTTTTTCACAGGCGTTGAAGTGGCAGCAGCACCAGGGATTGCTTCCTCCTGGTATGACCATAGATTTGTTTCGAGGCAAAGCAGCTGTCAAAGATGTGGAGGAAGAAAAGTTTCCCACGCAACTGAGCAGGCATATTAAGGTAAGGGCTTGCAATTTTACCAGCTGTGATTAGCTGAGTGTTCATCATGTGCAGAGTCAGGTCCTGTTGGCAGGAGCTGGGTGCCAGGGAAGAGAACTCTGGCAGTGCTCAGGATTCTCTTGTTGTCCACGGGGGTACGGCTGTAGCCTGGCAGTGGCACACATCAGTTGTGTACATGAGTAGATCCATATTTGAAAACCAGCCCATAATCTTAATATTTGGAAAAATGGTTTGCTCTTTGGTTAAATCTGGGACTATATGAACTTTATGTATACATGTCCTGTTAAACATCTGCTGCATGTCAGGCAAAGGGCCAGTCATGGATTGTAAAGTTGACTTGTAATGATTAGACCTAAAACCTCAGCAGACCACTGAGTTACATCCCCAGACCTTGGTTATATTTGCAGACTATTTTAGGAAAAGGCACAACCAAATAGTTCAGTTCCCAGAATTAAGAGGTATGTTTATAGTACATTAGCTTCTCTGTAACTTTGTGCTCTGATTGAATTAATGGATTTTAAAATGCTGCATATTTATGGGGTTAAGGAGATAGCTCAGTGGATAAAATGCTTGCTGTGCAAAGATGAGGACCCGAACTTGGGTTCCCAGAACCCACATAAAATTGAGCATGATAGCATGCATGTGTAAGCCCAGTGCTGGGGCAGAGAGGGGCAGATATTGGGGGCTTTCTAGCAAGCCATTGTAGCAGAGTATGGGGAGCTTCAGGTCTAGTCAGAGACTGTCTTGAAGACTAAGGTAGAGAGAGGTAGAATATGAAACCTTGATCTCTAACCTCCGCATGAGCATGCATGGGTGAGTGTGCTTGCATGAACACGTGCATACTTGCATATACTATACTGCAAATATGCACACACACAGATGTTGCATATTCCTTAACTCAGACTTTGGTTCAGTATTTTGCATTTGTCTTTTCTGCACTGTGTGTTTTAACTTACATGTGATAATATTTTTTGAGTCATACCTTTATTTATCTTGGTGGAAGACTTCATTCAGTTAGAAATCATTCTATTGGTGCCCCTGGGCTAGAATTTTTCTGGAATGAATATTTTGCATTTTTCTTTATTTGCATTGAAAAGAGAGCTAGAAAGCAGGGTGGTGGTGCACACCTTTAATCCCAGCAGGTGGGAGGCAGAAGCAGGTGGCTCTCTGAGTTTGAGGCCCTCTTGGTCTACACAGTGAGTTCTAGAACAGCCATGGCTACACAGAGAAACACTGTCTTGATAAACCAAAACCAAACCAAAACAATTTTTTCCCAGCTATATGTGGTGATGTATGCTTGTAATTCCAGCACTGGGTTACTGAAGTAGGAAGGTCTCAACTGTGAGGACAGTGTGGGCTACATTGAGTTCTTTGCTAGCTTAGGCCACCTAGTCTCAACTGGGGCTCTGCAAAGTCCACCAAATCTTCCTGTGCTGGTCCTGGGCCCTTCCCCATGTGTCCAGGGTCAGAGTGTAACCCTTCACGTGGGATGGGCTCTCAAAGTCCCTTTCTGCACCAGGGAAAAATACTAATCCACCACCAGAGGCTCCCTGGAGTGCAGAGGCCTCCTTATTGACATCCATGTTCAGGGGTCTGGATCAGTCATGAACTGGCCTCCCAGACAGCATCTGGGGTCGATGTGCTCTCTCTTGTTCAGGCCACCTGTTCCTTTGGGTTTCTCCAACCTTGTCCTTTTTTTTTTTTCCCCAAATAATTTCATTAAAAAGGGCAACATTTTGATATAAAATTGGTTAGAAAAAACAGCCATCAGGGTCCAGGTATAGAAATGCCTTCCAATACTCCACAGTATTGGCCATCTGTGATTATATGCAAGGGCAGGGTTTCTCAAAAGGCTAAAATGGGAATTGCATAAAGGCCATTAGGTAACAATTTATGTGTTCTTTGTTTCACTTGCAACAGTTTGGTCAGAAATCCCATGTGGAATGTGCTAGGTTTTCTCCAGATGGTCAGTATCTGGTCACCGGATCTGTTGATGGATTTATTGAAGTGTGGAACTTCACTACAGGAAAAATCAGGAAGGTAAAATATTTCAAATGCCTTAACTTATTAAGGAAGAATTGCTAATTTTTGGTTAATTATGTCTTATTTCCGAGTTAGATGATTGAGGAAGGATCTTTATGAAAGATACATTTTTATAGTTTAAAAGCTCATTTAAATTATTAAATTTTTATTAAATGAGGGAAAACCTTTATTATCTATGCTTTTCATGGATTTTTATAAAAAATAAACACTTTTTTACAATGTTATTTTGAGTGAGAAACATGTCTGTCTAATATATTCAGAAGGTGTCATGAGGTCTTAGTCTCCGTCCTTGAGCCATTCAGATCTCTTCCTTGGTTGAGCCAGGGTTACCCATTTCTTAGCTTTCCAGGAATGTTCTGAGTGTGCTAGCAATTACTTATGTGTTCTTACACAGGTGGCAGCATACATACCATGTACTTTATTATGCACCTTGATTTTTGTAGTGTTTTTGAGATAATTGCTGAATTACAGTACATTGCATTTAATGAATCATGATCTATGTAATGAATCCCTTTAGATTGTTGCCAGTCTCACCTAATTGTAATACTAATTGTATTTTTTATATGAGTGAAATTTATATGTAAATAACCATAAAAATTTTCTGTTCTGTGAAGTCTGTGACCACACTCCCCATGCACATATGCACATGTGAATCTGTGCAGATACACATGTACGTATGCATGTGTTTGTGTGGTGACCAGAGGAAACCTTGGGTGTTGTTTGTCTTGTTTTATCCACCTTGTTCTTTGATGTAGGATTTCTTCCTGGAGTGAAATTCCTCAATTAGGCTAACTTGGATGGTCAGAGAGGTCCAGACTTAGCTCTGGTTTCCTCCCTCTGGGATTACAAATATACAAGACACTATTATTATTATTATTATTATTATTATTATTATTATTATTATTATTATTATTATTATTATTATTATTATTTTTCAACATATGTGCTTTGGGGATTGAATTTAAGTCCTCATACTTATACTTGTAAGACAGTATCTTCCAGCTTTGTTCATTTTCCTTTTTTTTTTTTTAATCAGGGGCTAGGACAAGGACACCTTTGACTACAATGGAGCTTTTCTGTTATATACTAATGCCTGTTGATGTACTTTGGCACGATGTCTCCTTTTAGTCAATTTCTAGGGCTCTGGGTGGGGCCACTGGGACAGTGGTTTGGTTTTGTGTTATTTTAATAATTGTTAATCATTACTTACTTTAGGATCTAAAGTACCAGGCCCAGGATAACTTCATGATGATGGATGATGCTGTCCTCTGCATGTGTTTCAGCAGAGATACTGAAATGTTAGCCACTGGGGCCCAAGATGGAAAGATTAAGGTATGGATCAGTGTAAAGAATGCTTGCATTTAGACATTTTCAAATTTTTTAATGGTATACCCATGATATTTACTCTCAAAGTAACTCCTATATATTGAGCATCAATTTGATGCTAATTCCTTTTTCTTTTTCAATTTTACTAATGATTCTGTCTGGAATTATTAACATGTTTATAGTTTTTTTTATATGTTTAAGGTCACATAGCTGGTAAATTACAGATCTGGCAGATCAGTTCAAATCTGTTCATGTCTGTTTTGGTTGAAGCTTACTGTATGTATTATAGGTTATCTGTTCCTCCCCTTCCTCCCTCCCTCTTCCTTCCCATCTATCTATTCTCATATATACACTTTAAAAAATATATATTTAAAGGTGATGGTATACAGCCCATTGTTTATGTTTATGGTTATGGAAATAGTCACTGCTTAGACTTGGATACCCTTTTTTTTTTTTTTTTTTTTGGTCTTGGGGATTGAACTCAGGAACAAGACAAACACTCTTTTTTTTTTTTTTTTAACCACTGTGTTGTGTTTTGTTTTAAAGATTTATTTATCTTAGTTTCTTTTTAAGATTTGTTTATCTTACATGTTTGAGTGTTTTGCCTGTATGTGTGTGTGCCACTTGTGTGCCTGCTGGCTGAGAAGGTCAGAAGAGGGTATCAGGTTTCCCTGGGACTGAGCTAACAGGGAGTTTTGAGCTGCCATGTGGGTTTTGGGAATTGAGCCTGGGTCTTCTACAAAAAGGAACAAGTGCTCTTAACTACTAAGCCATCTCTTCAGTTCACCACTGAGTCTTGAATCTTTGTTTTAATAGCTTATGAGAAGAGTTTTAAGTTTCAAAGGATTCCATATCAGTACTACTGCAGTAGACATGCCAGACTGAACTGTTAGCATGTATCTTTGGTGTTGTCTTGGTATTAGTACTGTGTTGTGGACTGTGCCTGCCAACACCTTATTCCCATTTTTATTTTCTTAATACAGGTGTGGAAGATTCAGAGTGGACAGTGTTTAAGAAGATTTGAAAGGGCACATAGTAAAGGTGTCACCTGTCTAAGCTTTTCTAAGGATAGCAGTCAGATCCTTAGTGCATCTTTTGATCAAACAATAAGGTAATAGGAATTCCCAACTGTCCTCATGATGATTTGATGAAATAAGCCATCTCCAGCTGTTAAAGGCTAGGCTCACAACCAAAAATATAAAAATAAGGCCCCAGAGGAGAGGTTGCTAGTGACTCTTTATGATGTTTCCAGGATGGGGATGATAGGGAGGACAAGGGTATGTGAGGCCTCATTTTCCCAGCAGGTGGCACAGCACTGTTCTATGCATCGACTCTTTATCTAGAAGAGATTTGGAAGGGTGAAATAACAGTGTTTCATGTTTCTCAATGAAGCTGGGTGTGGAGGTGGAAATTTGGACTCACAGTCCTTGGAAGGCAGAGACAGATGCCGTGAATTCTAGACCAGCTTGCACTCCCTAATAAAACTCTTGTCTTACAAAACAAAAAATGTGGTCTATGGAGCTCCCTGTGTCATAATGACTTTAGAGGACCTTTTTTACAGAGTTCTGGGACCTAGCTGAGATCCCTTAGTTAATCTCTTATTTACTAGTCTGGGCGGAACCCTGTGGCTACTGTTATTTCTTGCAGTCTCTTGCTGTGTAGTTTGTATTTATTCTGTTTCATTATTTGACATAATGGAAATTATACTGTGTATATTTCATTTAATATTGTAATACTTTTGTAATTCATTTAAAATGCATTCAATGATTTGCTTCCAAAATAACATTGAATATTATTTTTTCATTTTATTTGATAGAATTCATGGTTTAAAATCTGGAAAAACACTGAAGGAATTTCGAGGTCATTCCTCCTTTGTTAACGAGGCAACATTTACACAAGATGGACATTACATTATCAGTGCATCTTCTGATGGCACTGTGAAGGTAAAGTGTCACCACTGACTCATTCTGGGATATCTGTTTCACTGCTGCTGTTTAAGAAGGCAGCATTGGATGGGGGTGAAGGGAGGGAGAGAGAGAGAAGGGACTTACATGTGAAACAAGCCTGTTCCCTAACTTGAATTAATAAAAAAAAAAAAAAAAAGGCGGCAGCATTGGTCAGGATGGTGATGGTACATACAGCTTGTAAGTCAGAGACAAAAGTATGCTGTGTGTGTTCCCTGTTTGTTGGTCTATATGACCCATTCATATAACCTCAAACTCATACAACCCAAGCTTTGTCTTGTGTAGAAAGAGTTCTTCTAAATGTAGTGACCCTGAGCCATGTCCTTGGTCCCTGGGTAATTTCCCTCCCTTCTTTCCCAGGCTATCTTAGATTATTATACTGTCTCTCAGACTAGGGTCCTTTTCTCTCAGCCTCCTGGTGGTTGAAATTATAGGTATGTACCATCGTGCCTGGTATTTTGTTTGGTTTGAGACAGGATCTTGCTCTAATATAGTAACCCAAGCTGACCTTGAACGCTCCACTCTATTTTGTCAGTTAATAATGAAGAGTGGCTACTATACACATGGCAGTATTGGTTATTTGATTTTCTTAAAGTCTAATGCTATGCTTTACATTTTTGTGTGGCAGATCTGGAATATGAAGACCACAGAATGTTCAAATACCTTTAAATCCTTAGGCAGTACTGCAGGGACAGATATTACTGTCAATAGCGTGATTCTGCTTCCTAAAAACCCAGAGCACTTTGTTGTGTGCAACCGATCAAACACAGTGGTCATCATGAACATGCAGGGGCAGGTGAGTACTGGGAAGGCGCTTCTGGCTTGTATGGACCAAACAAGGGTTGACAGGGTCTAAGCTGTATACACTGTGTGTGTTTATAGACACACACACATACATCCTTTCTCCAGTGTATGTATGATGCTTTCTCATCCTTCATCTAATCCTTGGTTTTTTTTGAGACAGGGTCTTGTTATGTAGCCTGGGTTACCCTCAAACTCAATGATCCTCCTGTCAGACTCCCAAGTGCTGGGATTGTAGGTGTACACCGCAATGCCCAGCTCTGCTTTTAGCCCCCTTTAGACTAACCTGAAGATTTTCAGATAGCAGCATTCCCTTTTAGGGAGGTCCAGAGTGGTGTGGATTACTCTCTTGTAACATCTACCACAAAAGCTAATATGGGATGGGATACTAATAGGAAGAAAGCAGCAATATCTCACTTTAAGCCTAGCCTGGCCTTGAATTCTGAATCTTCCTTCCCCAGTCTCCCAAGTGCTGGGACTGCAGGTGAGCACTCCTAAGATGAGTTTAATGTTGTATATCATAAAGCAAAATCTAGTTTTCAATCCTGGGTGGAGGATACACATTGCATCTGTTAAGAGTGGACTGATGCCGGGCGTTGGTGGCACACACACACCTTTAATCCCAGCACTCGGTAGGCAGAGGCAGGCGGATCTCTGTGAGTTCAAGGCCAGCCTGGTCTCCAGAGTGAGTGCCATAACAGGCTCCAAAGCTACACAGAGAAACCCTGTCTTGAAAAACAAAACAAAACAAAAAAAAACAAAAAAGGACTGTCGAACTTAAGTCCAGGTAGCACTGAAAACTAGAGGTATATTGATTTAGGAAATGTGAGGTAATGAATTTGCCTCATTTGAACATGACTAATAAACTAACTGAAGGACGGGGTTGATGATTTGGGTGTAAAATTCAAAATTTCTCTCTGCTACTTTAGTTAGCTTATCCATTGAATATTTTCAGGAAGGAAGATTTAATATAGGATGAATGGAACTGACGATAGTCACCAAAGTACAAAATAACAGTGTAAAATGTGTTTAAAAAATTTTGTTTTCTGGGTGTGTGACATATGCCTTTAATCCTAGCACTTGGGAGGTTAGAGACAGAAGCATCAGGAATTCAAAGTCAGCCTTGGCTGCTTAGCAAGCTTGAAAGCAGCCTGGTTACAGGAGATCCTGTCTCAGACAGAGAGCCCTTATTGAATGTTAGGTCAGTGGCAGTGGTAGTTTAGCTGCCTGAAGTTGACGTGCTGCCAACCTGGTGTTTGCTTTTGTTTTTTTGTGGTGTCTAGATTGTCAGAAGCTTCAGTTCTGGTAAAAGAGAAGGTGGTGACTTTGTTTGCTGTGCGCTCTCCCCTCGTGGTGAGTGGATCTACTGTGTTGGGGAGGACTTTGTGCTCTACTGCTTCAGCACAGTCACTGGCAAGCTGGAGAGAACACTGACGGTGAGTAGTCAAGACCACATAGGCAATGGTGAAAATGCACATACTCTGAAGTAGAGCCTTCTTCAGGCAGGCTGCCATCAGTGTGAACCTCTTTAGGAAACATGCAGTGGAGGCATTTACAATAAATAAATGTGTTATCTATTAGAAATCAGCTGTATGTAGTACAGTTTGGCCTCAGGGAAGGGACAGCTAGCTAGCTAGGCCAGAATTTCTGGGGCAGAGGGGTTGGAGAGACAGGCTTTCTCCATTCCTTTTGAAGGTTAACTACTTGCATATTTGCATATTATCCTTCCAATTTTGATTGCTTTTGACACTTTCAGTTTTAGGCTATTAAGATTTTAACTAAAATGAAGATATTATGAGTAATTTTTCTTTTTTCCCCCAAGACTGGTCTCTCTGTGTAGTCCCGCTGTCCCAGAACTCAGAGATCCACCTGCCTCTGAGGTCCTCCTGAGTGCAGGGATTAAAGTCATGTGCCATCCCCCGGCTTATGAGAAGTAATTAATGCCCATTGCTGTAATAATGGTCTCCAAATTTTAGTGGTTTAATAAGATAAAAGCTATCTAATTATGTCTTACCAGTCAACTCTAGTAGAGACCTCTTGAGAGTGGTTTTAGAAATAAGACCTGTGTACCCTGTGTTTTCCATGTTCTAGGTCCATGAGAAGGATGTGATTGGAATTGCACACCACCCCCATCAGAACCTGATTGCCACCTACAGTGAAGATGGACTCTTGAAGCTCTGGAAACCATAAGTCATCATTTACAGTGCAGCCAGGGAGCATGTACTTAAAAAGGAGTGTTCATGTATTGCTTTTGCTTTTTCATGTCTGCCTTTGTTATCAAAGATACTGTCTGAATGAGTACATTGTTTAAACCATAGATAAAGCTTTTTTTTTTTTTTTTTTTTTTTTTTTGAAGAGACAGGGTTTCTCTGTAATCCTGGCTGTCTCGGAACTCTCTGTAGAGCAGGGTAGCCTTGAACTCAGAGATCCATCTGCCTGCCTCTCAAATGTTGGGACTAAAGGTGTGCGCAATCACCACCACCCGGCTTCCTTTTAAAGACATTAGTTATCTTCTAACTGGGGCAGTCATTTAATGTTTTCACTAATCTTCTGCCAAAAGACTTGTTATTTCTAAAGGAAAAACTTATTTCAAATGCTAATTAAAACCCATGTCCTAGCATAAAATGTGTAAATATGTCTTTATGCCATATTCAGTAGCTGTGGGTTTTTTTTTAAATTTTTAATAAACTTAATACCTTTCTGAACCTTTCTGAAGACTTTACCATGTCCATGTGTGTTCATACAGGGAGAGGGAGAATCATCCTTGCCTGGTATTCAGTTCCTGGGATAGTGTAAGATAGACTAACACGGAAAAATTCCTAACCATGGTAAACTTCTAAAACCAGAACACCATCACCGGTATATGGCTTGATAGCACAGGCTGGCTTTGAACCCAATGCAAACCCCAGGCCTTATCCTACCCTTGGCCTCCTAAATGTTGGAACTGCAGGCATATGCCACCATGATACCTGGCTGTCTGTTCAGGCTACTACACAACCCAGCCACCAGCTGTACCCAAATCTCAATAGGTTGAGACCTAATCAGTATTGAGTTTCCTAGGCAGTTCTGTTCACAGCCAAGACTGAAAACTAAAGAAACACTGAAAGCTTGGGAGCCTTTTTCTATGCTGAGCTTTGAGGTTTTTGATTTCTCTGTGTAACACCTGGCTGTCCTGGAACTCAAGACTCTACTTCTGCTCTACCAAATTGAGTTGTGTTTTGCTTATGTGCCTGTATATCATGTTTGTGACCTAGTGCTTGAAGTGGGTGTCTGAACCCCTGAAACTTGAGTTACAGACAGATGAGTCGCTATGTGGATGCTGGGAACTGAACTGGGTCCTCAGTCAATGCTAACCATTGAGCCATTTTTTCTCACCCCTGGTATTTTGCTTTTTAATTCAAATGTTCTCCCCATGAAGAAAACTTCCTTCCATTTCCAGACTGAAAATATTTTAAAATTCTGATCACAAAACCCAGGTACAGACTGTACTGGCATGAAGTTCACATACTCTCACCCAGGTACTTATAGTTTCCTTTTCTGACTTGGGCTCAGACCTCTACTTTTATTCCCGTTTCTGTCTCTTTACTCATCATTTGCACAGTTCATGAACAAAGTAATATCAGGTTAAACCCTAAAAGCCAAAGCTTTGAACTGAGAAAAAAAGGTCTGCAGTGACACATTGGAAACTTTAGAATCAGTATATTAGAAGACAGTCATACATTTCAATAACTGCTTAAATTCTGATACCCAGATTTAAGCATGTGAACATGTGACTTTAAAACATACAACAAAGCTATTCATAATTTGCTATACTACCAACATTAAATTGCAGTTACGTTGGGACCTAAGTCAAATAGCAAGCCTGTAACAGACCTAAGAAACACCTTTCTTGGATTACACATGCAAATCACTTCTCCACATACAAGGTCTCTTCATTTTAATTTGTAAATTACTTGGGCTTTGGAAGTCACCACCCAAGGGCTTATCATGGTTTGAGGAGAAGGGGACCATGTTTTCTATGTGTATGTGTGTGTATATGTATATATGTATACATATATATACTTTTTAAAAGATGGCACAGCAGAAGGGAATGCAATCTAGAAGAGCAAGCCCTTAAGCAGTAGCTTGATAAACTTTAGGAATGTATCATTTCTATCACTAGTAACAGGCAAAATTATGTATTATGCCACCTTCTAGTAATGGCTGAGGCAATACATTGCAGAGGCATTACAATTAGTCCACTTCATACAACTAGACAGACCCAACATGTGATTACTAAATATTTTCTTTTTCTGATTACCATTAAATACAGAATTTTAATTCCATAGCTTAACAATTAAGGGTCACAACACATACCTAGCATGTCGGTCTAATAATGTACACAGCTATTATCAGTTACACAAGATATGGCCTGACAGATGCTAGGAAACTTTTTAAAGTAGCTTTTTTTTTTTTTTTACAAGTATTAAACTTCATCTTGCACATTGAAGTCATCATACATACAGGGCAAGTCAGAGCTTTTATATTTGTGTTTATTCTTCATTTAACTTTTAAAACACTACTATAGTTGAATATTAAAACAAAACAATAGCCAAGTAGTGAGTATATTATGATTACAGTCCTTCCCACATTCACTACTGCATTTAGAATGACAAAGAGGAACTGGCCCATTAAGAGGTCTGACACTGAACACCACCTCTGGGGTGATGTTCATCATCCTCATATGCTTCTCCATTATAATGACGCCGTCTTTCCTGATTTGGATCAAAGTCCACCAGTTCTACCTGATCCATTTCATCAGTCTCTTCCACTTCCTTCCTTTCAGGAAGGAGTTTTTCCAGCAAAGAGAGCTTATCAGGAGAGAGAAAGCCATTTTCAGGAAAGTTTACCTGCAAAAAATAAATTACAGGTTAAGGTTGATTCTAATCTTTAAAGTACACTCAACTATTTTCCCCAGAAAAACATGTAATTTCCCATTTCTTGAGGTACACCTTGCAACTCTGGTTTAGAACCATTTAGTATTCTTTTTAAGAATTTTTCCCAGATTTTTCTGTGTAGCCCTGGCTGTCCTGGAATTCGCTCTGTAGGACCAGGATGACCTTGAGTGCTGGAATTAAAGGTGTGCACCACCACTGTCTGGCCAGATGGTTTATTCTTTACCAACCCCCTGGTGTGCTAGATTATAGGGACACACTACCCAGGCCAGGTGCTAACAAAGTACGACTTTCTAAGCCAGCCAGCATCCCCTGCAGCCATCAAGTCACATGGTTTTCCAATTCTTTCTGGACAAAGAGTAAGCGCATGTACTTGGTTTATATTAGCTAACCATTCTCAAATGTCCTTGAACATTATAGCTTACCTTAAACTCAATGATAAGACGTCCCTTTTCATATGGCCGACGATATATTGGCATACCTTCATTTAGCACACATTTTATATCTCCATGCTTGACAATCTGACCTAAAGACATTGATGCCAAATTCATTCTTAAGTATGGTCAACATTTGCATAAGGCACCCCCCCACAGACGAGAAAACCAACAACCATGTTGTCTTGAGGTATCCAACATTCATCCAGGCCCTCGCTATAATTTTGTTTCAGCCCTAGGAAGGACATAAGCAAGGAAAGGACACTTTTTCCTCAGAAGTCCAAACATGAAAACAGGCTCATCTAGTTGTACCTGGATGAGAAGTGATGACTATGGTTCGGTTGTCAAGAGTGGATATTGGCTTTTGGAAGCCGCACAATGCTTCAACCAGCTGTATGTCCATACACATGAAAAGATCTTCTCCTCGTCTATAGCAATATAAATAAAAGGCATAGTCACATATTTCAAACCACCAAATGACTACACACCACAGTGGGCAAACTTATCATTTGGAAACCAAACAACTGAAAGCTGAGATTAGCAAATTATTTGGAATTGGCCAGCTGTTTGCTGAATAGCCTACAAAATTCAACCACAGAGCTGGGTACAATGGTGTATGTTTGCCTATATTGCCAGCACTTAAGAGGTAGAACACAAAGGGCAGGAAGACCAAAGCTGCTTAAACCTACACTCCCCACACCCTGGTTTTTTGAGACGGGGTGGGAATGGGAGGGGTTTCTGTGAAAAAACAAACAAAAAAAGGCTCTGGCTGTCCTGGAACTGATTTGTAGGATGGCCTTGCACTTACAGAGATCTAAGGTTAAAGGTATGCACCACCACTGCTAGCTAAATCTGGTACTTAAGAGGGGAAGAGAAAAAAAGACCCCCCCCCCAAAAAAAAATTGAGGCTAAAAGAAGCCAACACACATTTGGAACACAGGAATCAGTGCAAATTGCAAATTGAAAACAGACCTGGGTTAGATCTTTACTTAGGCCAATTATGACTATTTAAGTGATAGTAAAAAGTTCTTTGCTAAGAATATATTAAGTATTATGCCTTAAGGTTACTTCCCCAACTCTGAAATCTTTTCCAATACAGAATATACCCCTGCCACACCTCCAAGTTGAGTTTGGAAATCTTGTGCTTCAAGATACAAATTCAGTACAGCAGACTTGAATGTGTACATATACTTAAAGAGTCTTAAATTGTAGTTTTTTATTCAAAGTGTTTGGGTATTTACACATAAAACAACTAAACTCAGCCAGGCATTGGTGGTGCACACCTTTAATCCCAGCACTCTGGAGGCAGAGGCAGGCGGATCTCTGAGTTGGAGGCCACCCAGGTCTCCAGAGGGAATGCCAGGATAGCCTCCAAAGCAATACAGAGAACAAACAAAAAACCCAAGAAAAAAATCAAAACTCAGCATGAACTAAGGTGAAAGTTATTACTTTGAATTGACTGTCCTGAGACTGAAGGGGTATTATCCAGCCACAGAAACAAACAGAAACAGGCAAGAAGTTAGTTTGAGATTAAGTCTTTACCGTGTAAAAACAGCATGGTCCTTCTGGTCTAACACAATGATAATATCTCCTGGTTCCAGTCCTGGTTCTTGGTCTCCTTCACCATGGAATGTTATCTTCTGACCATCTTTCATGCCTAAACACAGATTGATTTTGTACTTTTACTGATATTGGACATGAAGGTCAAGATCATAAAATCTACTAAAATACACATGTGGTCTGAGAATGTAATCCAGTGGTATAGCATATGCTGAGGCCCTGGGTTCAATCCTCAGTACAATTCCTGCAAGACATCCTTCTGGCCTCTACATGCACAATTTTTTTTTTTTTTTTTTTTTTTAAGCATCCTCTTTGTGGATGAAAGATACCACAGAAATGGCTTAAAAGGACTACTTTTAAGGCTATCAAACAGTAGAGGACACAATTCTCTACAAAGAATCAGGCCCTTTATACTTAGCTGCATATCCATCCTAAGTCTCAACTTTCCCAAAGAGACATTTCATTCAAGCTACTGAGGATTAAAAATGCCCACGCTGGAACCAAATTGGCAACTGGCAAACACTATAGCCACTAACTGTTAATTATTTCTATTGTGTAACAATCTGTAATTACTACCATTAATCTAAGCAGCAGTGTCAATTGCCTTTTTTGTTGTACCAGCAGTATTTCTCATAAGAAAACTGTTTACTTAAGTAAATTCATAATTAAGTATTCTTTCCTTGAAGCTTCTTCCCTTCCACTCTTTATTATCTTTCCTGTATCATGTTCATTCTGCTCAAAAACTAAAGTAAAAATTCATCTTTTTCGATACATAGCTCTGTAGTAAGTCATTACCCAGTACCTAGACTTACTAAAAACAAAAAGGTGTTAGCCAGGTGGTGGTGGCTTTAATCCCAGTATGCAGAGGCAGACAGATTTGAGTTCAAGGCCAGCCTGATCTACAGAGTAAGTTCCAGGACAGCCAGTCTTGAAAACCCAAAAAAAGACTGTTTACTATTGGATACTATCTTAGTGGTCCATATACAAAATACTGAGTATTTTTCAATATAGCACTTTTTTTTTTTTTTTTTAAAAATGGTATGTTTATTGAAACTTCTACCTGCTTCTAATTCTGCCCCACATAGTTTAATGAAGTTTTCCCCATCTCTTTTCTTTTGGTGTGCTGTATACATGTTCATGGAGGCCAGGAGAGGTGGTCAGATATCCTTTGTCCACCTAGGCCACAAGCCCCAGTGATGTGGTCTTCACCCCCTAGACCTCCATGGCAGGAGTATACAGACTAGTATATGGCCACACCTAGCTGGAAACCCCTTTGGTGCTGGGAATTTGAACTCAGGCCCTCATGCTTATTATACCATCAGTGAGCCCAGGGACCATGTTTGGGGGGCAGGCTTAAGATCCCAGCACTAGGGAGGCAGAAGTAGGCTACATACTGAAACTTTGTTGAAAAATGTTAAAAACCGGGGCTGGAGAGATGGCTCAGTGGTTAAGAGTAGTTCAATTCCCAGCATCCAAGTGGCAGCTCACAACTGCCTGTAACTCCAGTTCCAGGGGATCCAACATTCTCATATAGGCAATACTCCAATGCACATGAAATAAAAATAAATTAATCATTAAAAAAATGTTAAAAAACGTAAAAACTGCCCCATGTTGCCACTGAAGGCTGGGCGGATGTCATGGTCTATGCTACAACCTGAAGCTATGGCCATGTACATGATCCCAGCTGCATCAGAGGGCCTTGTCTGGGCCCACAGCCCTACTGTAACCAGGAGCCCTGTTAATATTCTGTGCTAACGCCACAAACCACGTGAAAGCCCATGATCCATGCCCCCAAAGACCACAAAGAGCAAATAAGCTACACTGGCAGTGAGAGGCACAGTTTAGAAAGGAACATGGAAAACTTCTGTGACAACCTCTACCCCTTTCCCCAGTAAGAGCCTAACCAAGCAGCCACTGAAAAGAAAAAAACCGTGGTAAGATGCTGAAGTGTCACTCTATATAACAGGTGGCCTTCAGCAGGATTGCAAGGACTAGATTCTATTTATGGGGAAGGTCATGGACAGGAAAGACTGGGAAGCAAATGGGATAGGGGTATAGGGTATATGAGGGGAAATTCCCAAAGAATTGATAAAACATCGGTGAAAACTATTTTTTTTTGTCTTTGAAGACAGGGTTTCTCTGTGTAGCCGTGGAACCCTCTCTGTAGATCAGGCTGGCCTTGAACTCAGATCTGAGTGCTGAAATTAAAGGTGTGTGCCTTGACCTCCCAGCCCCAAACCCCATTTTTACTGTATTCTTTTAACTTGAATGTGAATTTAACTGTACTACCCAGCTGTAGTCCCAACACTTGGGAGATGGAGGCAGGAGGACCAAGAGTTCATGGTCACCCCTAAGTACAGAAGTCCCACTCTATCTCAAAATAACAAACAAGTTATTTAGCCAAAGGACAGAGTGAGGCCAGCCTCGGCAAAATCCCCATCTCAATAGAAGAAAAAGAAATTTTTATTAAGCTGAACCAGAAAAAAAGGACTGATATGCACACATATTCCTTTTGTTTTTCGAGACAGGGTTTTTCTGTGTAGCCTTGGAGCCTATCCTGGCACCCGCTCTATACATCAGGCTGGCCTTGAACTCACCCAGATCTACCTGCCCCTGCCTCCCAAGTGCTGGGATTAAAGACGTTCCCCACCAATGCCTGGTGGGCACACACATTCTTTAAAGATGTGTTATACTAGGTGTGGTTACATGGGAATGTAACCCCTGCACATGTAAAAAGCCAGAAATCTATATTTTAATGAGCCTATTCCTCACCTCACATACACCCATTTATGTTATTCCTTAATTCCTAAGAATGTGCACAGTATAAATTTTTAAAGACAGGATAATTACATATCAGAAGACTGGATAAAATGTTCTGTAACTATTGCCACTGAGCCAGAAAGACAAATCTTACACACTAAGAGTATGTAATATAAATGTGGGAAGGGCCAAGGCCACACAACGTCTAGAAGAACTGTTGGCAGTTGATGTTTACTGGAGGGGAGTCCCTTTCTTTGTTAGTGTAGCCACCGATAAATGCCCATGTTCCAGTAAATAACCCCCCCCCATGCTCACACAAGCACTACTAATTAAACTAAATGTATCACAAACAACCCTACCACAAAATGATGAGAATGGCAAGTGCTACAGAAAACAATGAGGGATGGAGTGAAAATTACCAAACTACGTTATACACTATGAATAAAAAACACGATTCAGACTATAGAGTGGATCAGAACTCACCTTTATCAATATGAACTTCTAAAATCTTCTTCTCTCGAACTATCTTTCTTCCATTGCAACTTTTACATCTGTCTTTAGGACTGATGCGTTCTCCATGACCCTGGCATTCCATGCACACTGACTGAATTTGTGAACCATTCCTGGTCCGATCTGATGAATCCTGATTTGCATGCCGGTCCCCCGACAGTTGGGACAGCACTCAACTGCTCCTTTCTTACCACCTCGGCCTAAAGAGTTTAAAAAAACAAAAACAAAAAAACAAAACTTTGTGTATTAACTTTGTAATAGAATCTAAACTCCTTAGGATTTTCAAGGGCTTATGTACTGCTGTCCTAAATAGATTCAGGAGCCATTTCAAAATCATGAGTTTTTAAACAGAAACAAACAAGGTAGGCACGCATGCTATAAATCTCAGCAGTTTCAAAGAGGATGGTGGAAAATCTTCCCTTTTGAGTTAGTTTAGAAATGGTTCAACAATGGAGGTCAGCAAGCAACTGTGTGTTAGTAAGGGGTGTATGTGTGAAGAAATGACATTTTTTAGACATGAGAATGCCTAAGAGTGTCAATAGTCTGTTTTTTGTTGTTGTTTTTTCGAGACAGGGTTTCTCTGTGGCTTTCTTTGGAAGCTGTCCTGGAACTAGCTCTTGTAGACCAGGCCGGTCTCAAACTTAGAGATCCTCCTGCCTCTGCCTCCCGAGTGTAAAGGCATGCGAAGCCACCACCACACAGCTAAGTGTCAATAGTATGTATTCTTAGGATTTTGGTAGAAACAAAGGGGTGGGAAGAAGGGAAGGCAGGGCCTAGTGAGATGACTCACTTAAGAGCACTGGCTGTTCTTCCAGATGACCTGGATTTGATCCCAAGCACCCACGTAGTGGCTCACAACCCTCTTTAACTCTAGTTCCAGGGGATATGATGCCTTCTTTTGGCTTCCATAGGTACTGCATAAAGCAGTACAAGAGATAAACACTCAGACAGGCAAAACTCCCGTGGGGTGGTAGAGAGGTGGGGAGTGGGGTGTCCTGCCTTTGCAGTTAGAGTTCAAAGTAGGCAGGCCTAACAGTGAAGACCTCTGCAAGCACCTGCGGTATTTTACTTTCTGAGTGAGTAGTGAGCCAGGCAGTAAACTCCAAGACTGCCTGCACCACCATCTTAATGTTCCGATAGCACATTTCCACCTTGAGAGAAGGTTTTGCTGGTCTCACTAAGCTTGACCAACCCCAGAGTTTGATCTTTTAATGCCTGGTTGAAGAAAACTGGTTACTACAAGTTGTCTTCTGACCTCCCAGACACCGAAACATGCATATGCAAATACAAAGTATTAAAAAAAAATTGCTACTTAGGGCCTATACAGATTAGGCCCATCAGCACCTTGTAATAAAGGGAGAAGCTATTGTCAAGGCCTCACCCCTGCATACACATTTTCTTCTGTAATATAGCTACTGAATAAGGTGCCCATCCTTTTGTAAGCAATCCCTCACCCATATTCCTGTAAACAACTCTAATGGGACTCAAAACATAGGCACACAGGAGTATCAAGGAACAGAAGGGTTTTAGTGGAAGTTGAGCAGGAGAGCAATGATGAAAATACATTATATACATGCATGAAAACGTCACAACAAAGCCATTACGAGTTTTCTTGGAAGGTTCACTCAGCTCCTTTTAGTGTAGCATCAGTTTTGTCTATCCAGAAAATTAGGCATAAGGGCTTGTAGTAATCCCCAGGTTGAGGCAGGACACAAATCCAAGGCCAGCCTAATCTATAAAGACCTTATCTCAAAAACTATAACAACCCAACAGTAAGTAAGAACCCTTACCTTCACATTTGTCACAAATCACATTCTTTTGCAGAGCTAATTTTCTTGTTGCGCCATTATACAAGTCTTCTAAGGTCACTGAGAGCTGATGCACAACATTTTTACCTGGAACAAAACACTGCTCATTAAAAACCCATGTGTAATGTTTGCTGAAGGCACCATAGAAATGGAAAAGGATAATCAAAGACCAGTCTTATACTATACACCTGTTGAGCTATACCCATATACAACATTCATCCAATAACTTGATTCTCAAACTGATTTAATCACAGTTAAAGTGAATTACATCAGGGGTTCATTTGCCTAACGACACAAAAGAGGCCCCCTCTTAGAAATGCAGCGACTAAAAGTCACTCAATGTTCAGGCACATTTCACAACAATTCAAAGCATGTATCCCTTTAGAGGTTTCACTTACTAAGCATTAAGCAACATGGCCAGTTACTTCATCCAAACAGTACATTCTTTCTAATCAAGATTGGCTAGAGAAGCCAATATTGAGACACTACTGAAACAATTCCTACTTCTGTTTCAATAGTTTACTGCCAGGCTAGAACTGGTTGTTTCAAATGACAAATTTCTTATGCTTTTTGTAATAGAACAGAAAACTTTAATGATGGGCGTATCATGTGTTCAATATAGCAACTACTAGTCACAATTTAAGTGTGGTGACTACCACAGCTGGAGAGAATATCCACCCTCCCTCCCTTAAGTTAATCTTAATTTAAAGACTCACATCTGGCTAGTGACTACAAAGGAATGCCACATGTAATTAATTTACCTATGGCAATAGGAGGAGGAGGTTGAGATCACACAAGGATAATCAGGCTATGGAAATAAAATTACCCTCTATGGTTAATAAGTTCCTAGCCAGTGATCCTTCCACTAGGACTTTATCCATCACCAAATGGCACTGCCTGGTGGCTAACAACAGTTTCAATCCTTTCTGACCATCATACCTAAAGGAACATTTACTCTTTTAAGTGAGATGTTAAGTATCATATCCTTTTGTTTCTAGCTTTACTTTAGATTTCTACTATCACAAAAAGAACATGTAAGCAGGTTCTTCCAAGTTGAAAGTTGCCCATTTCTTAACTTTGTATACAGAGTACAGAAAAGGAAAAACAAAGCTTCTGGAAACTGACCAAGTATACTTTCCAAAGCAGCAGCAACAAAAACCCTCATATTAAAATAAGCCAAAAGTTAGTAGCTCATACTATCCTTATGGTTCACAACAGATTTTTTTTAATTTTAATTTTTGTGCATACATGTTTGTATGAAAGCCCAGAGGTCAGAAGAGGTTATCAGATCCTCTTGAGCGGGAGTTACAGGCAGTAGTGAGCCATGCACTGAAATCTGGATCTTCTGCAAAGAGTACAGTATTCTTAACCACTGAGCCACTTTTCAGGGCCACAACATTCATTTCCAGTAAATTCTTGTAAAAACACAGTAAACAAAAATGAAGTACTATTGACCTCCAATGCTATCTTCCCAAGAAGTCTGTCTAGCTCAGAGACAACTTTTTTGTTAAAACATTAAATGCATATAAACTGAGTTAGCAAGCTAAAGTAAGATTAAACAGGCAGCAGGTTATCTGGAGGCAATGAGCTGTTTTCAGTCTTGGCTTGCTATGTTTCAGTTTTCTCAACTCTTCTTTAACTGATAAAGGCCATTACACTTAACCATTTGTGTTTGTTCTAGGGGCATGATGTGTAAGGGCTTAGAAGCCCAGGTTGCCATGCTGTTATCTTACTGTTTGGGTATCTGTGGATGGGAGATACCCACTAGATTGGCTTAGCTATTTTGATTACATAAAAATCTCAACTATCTAAATTTCTTTTTTAAAAATCTCAATTTTAAATGACACCAGAAATCAGAGGCATCATACCAATATGTAAACAAGCACTGAAGGTAGTAAATTCAGTTTTTCAGTAGCAGCCATTTCATTCTGCTGCAGGTAAGCTGTACTTTTTCTTACCTCTCCGTTCTCTTTGCATCCTCCCTCCTCCTCCAAAGAACATGTCAAAGATATCCATGGGTGAGCCAAAACCACCACCTGCTCCGCCCTCTTTAATGGCCTGTTCTCCTCCTTTATCATATAATTCCCTTTTTTTGGAATCAGCAAGAACTTCATAAGCTTGAGAAATCTGTTTAAACTGTTTCAGAAAAAGAAATCCCATTAGAAATAACTGTCACACGGCACAGCCACTGTATTACAACCTTGACTTTCGGGCACCAGCAGTACACACATGGCAACACTGCTGAACTGTTCGAGAATGTACTTGCCTTTTCTCCTCCATTTGGAGTT